ACACCGACCACTTATATTCAGTGTTCGGTGGACACTGACACCGATATTTCAGTGGCACGGTGAACACCGAACACCGAATATAAGTGTCACTGAAAATCGTTGTCAGTGAAATTCAGTGCTCAGTAAACCGACACTGCACATCCCTAACAGCACGTAATTGATACAATTCAATAATCTTGAAAAGTATATGAGAACAATGAATTATCAATCTAACTTTTGAGATTATGAGTCAGTTCTTCTTGTATTTAAAATTATAAGATAGAAATGAAACTTCCATCTAAAGAATATTATATTTATTTGTAATAATATTCATTAATAAAGTAAGTTTATATTTAAACAAAGATCGAGAAGATACGACTTAACAATTGTGTTTTGTTTTTTTATTCCAATTGAGCAATTCTAGTTGAAATTAAACCTATGCACAATAGGTATCATTGTATTGTAGATATATTTTTGTAGTCTTGTGAAAGGATTTTAATTGCTGTTTAATAAACATTTTTATAATGAATTTTTTTGAGACTTCGAGCGGCTTACATTTCTCGATTTTTTTTCTACTGTTGAGACATGAATGTAAATGTGCAGATGATAATCTTACAACCGTTTCTGATTTATATATATCCACATGTATACCTTTGATAGTGAGCGAAATAGTATTGGATTTGAAGAAAAAAATTAAACATGAAAAAGAAATACAAGATCATTTTTACGTATGACAGAACCATAAGCAAATAAATTTAATAGTATTTAATATTCTTTTTTATTCAGTAGTTGATACAGACGATAGTTTATTGAGCGAAAGTTGAGAGATACTAATTTTAACATAAATAAAAAGCATTTTTAAATCGTTGTTAAAAATAAAGTTAAACGAGCACATTTTTTTTGTTTTTTATTCTTTCATTATTTTCTAATTTTATTCCATAAGAACATTAAACATTCTATGCAATTTCTACAAATGTTAGTCATAAGCGTCTTAAACGTGATTGCGAGCATGTGCATTATGAATGAAGAAATTATTTACATTCTCAAAATATTTTATAGCTGATTCTCTATTAATGACAGAATTATCTTCGATGTATAAATTTCAAAATATCTTTTACAGTCGAAAACGCATCATTCGGATATGTTTATTTTGTTCAATGGCTCGTCAACGATGAAGTATAGAATATTACAATTATTAATAAAAAAAAATTGAAAATTACGAAAATATTAAACGAAGTAAATTAAATTTTTAATCGAGTTTTGGTTCACCAGCAACAATGCTGCTTTCAATACCACATTCATCTGAACCACGAATAATTTTGAAGAAACCTTTTTCACCCCAATCTTCATTCCATGCTATAATAAAACAAATAATTATTATTATACTAAAATCTTATTCATACTCACAATTAGCAACAAGCCAATAAGGTGTAGAATTTTCAACACCCCAACCAAGGATTTTTACAGCTAAAATAAAAATATTTCTTTTTTTAAAATTCGATTTTAATTTTTAATAAAGAATGAGATTATCAAGTGTTTTAGTGGTATTATATAGAGAAAATATACCGTCAGTCAGTCCATCCATCTTAAGGGCGAGTATAAGTACAAGTACTGGAATCTTTCTCTGAATCCGCTCAGACAGTTAAAATTATTATTATATCGTAAGTAATATCATCTTGATGAGATATCGACAAGATACTAAAGTTATTATCATCTGGTCCTTTCATTCTTCTTGGTCTATGTATAAACCGATTAAAAAGTGTAACAGGAACTCAAAAAGTTCAGAGACTAAAATCATTAAGAGAAGTTAAGGATGATGCCAACTTTAATTTCTGATGAATTTTTAATTCTGATTAATCTAGACTTGTAAAAATAAAAGATTAAAAATCATACCATGACCGCCAAGAAATGAACCAGCTGTATGTTGATAAACACCTGATTGATATGTAGGAAAATCTGAATAAACTGAAAAAGATGCTTCAACAGGTCCATTGTTCATAAGTTCGGTTTGAATTTGTTCTTGTTGTGATCGAACTGAATAAACACTTTTACCATGATGTTTATCTTTTTCATAGGGTGTTGAATAGCTACTAATACATTTATGAGTACAGTGTGGTGTTGGTTGTTCATCTCCACACTAAAATTTAAGATATTAATAGTTTGTTTTTATACAAAATCATTCTATACTCACTGGTTGTTTGGTTCCGTTTACACTTAAATATACAAAAGAAAGAAAAAATTAAGAATTCTTTTTATTTTATTCAACATACTGATGATCACATGCAGCGATAGTATATGGTTCACATCCTTCTGATGAATTATAATTTCCACCAGTAACTAATCCAGTAAGTCTATAGTGGTTCCAAGCAGCAGTGGGAAATCCACCATTACAACCTGAACCACACAATTTACAACATGCTAAAATAATCAATTAATACTTTTTTGTCATAATATTTAATTAAAAGAATTTCAACATACAAACAAGATCTTCAGCTGAAATATGTACAATTTTTGAACCTTTAGATGCAATACAAATACGATCAGACATTGCTTCAACTGCACCAAAAGCCCAACAACTTCCACAACTAAAAATTTACGATCAGTCAGATTTAATCTTTATTTCTATAGAAGCAACTAACCTTCCTTGATCTCGTACTTCTTTAATTGATGGACAATTAGGCCATTGTTCTCTTGCATCGAAATTAGTTGGTAAATCATTGGGTACTTCATGTACAATAGGATCAACATTTTTTATTTGAATAAAATGATCTTTATGAACACCCATTAATCGTTTAACTGCAGATTTTGTCCATGTTTGAAATTTATTTGGTCCAGCTTTCCATTTTGATTGTGCTGAATTTATATGAGAAATAAAATTCTCAGAGAATAATGGTCTTTTTGACTTTTCAACATCACGACTGGAAACAATAGCTAAACCAACACAAAGTATGAAACAAATAGAAAGATGCATCTTATTCAAACGAGAAACAAAGTGCAAATGAAATGTTATCTTCACAATTTTATATGATACAATATTTTTTTTCTTGTCATATAATCATAATTGTTTGTCTTTGTTCTCAAAAGATAAAGTTTTAAAGACGTTTATTTCTTATCAAAAAATAAATATCAACAATTATGCGAGCGTTTACTTGGCTTAATTAAATAAAAAAAACAACAAAATATATATATTTTTTTCTCGAACGAAATGTATTTCGTCATAATAGAGAGATCCATTGCAACTAATGATATGACATCTTATTACGAAGTTACTAGTGTGATGCAACTAGTAAATTATAAATATGATAGAAAGTACTGGAACGGTAAATGTGAATCAATAGAAACTACGGTTATAATACTTATATTCACATTCATACTGCTCTATTTCTACTGCATTTTCTATTTTTCTGAATCAGTGAAATGACTCAACGTATGAACTTTGACCATACTCAAACAATTTCAACAGTTTTTTGTGTGTAATATTTTCTTATGCGGTTGTCATATATTATTTCTTGCCTCTTTTTCTATACAGATTGAAAGATTCGAAGTTACAGTATTATCTAGGTCACTAATTCGTAGACCTACTTTCAGAGATTAATAGTAAGATCTCGAAGTAAATATGCAATATCTATATTCAATTGATTCGTCTAGAACCATATTGTACTTTTTCACTTACATAAAAAGTTCCGAAAACTAAATCAAAATTGATCGTATATTTTATTAATTTCATGTATTCAAGTCGCAACATTTCATTTATAATAAAACATGTATGCTCTTCTATTTAATAAATTCATAAAATTTCAATTAAATAAAGCTATATTTACACATAAAATAAAGAAGATTATCATTCACTTTTAAAAGGTTTTTTTCACAAATACTATTGTATTACATGTCAATCATACAGTAGAGTCAAAATCGACAGTAAGTAAATTTATTTCGTTGTTTTTGTTGTTATATATTATATTTTGAATAATAATCAGATGATAAAAGTACATTCGATTATGTCATAATTTCCGTAGTTGCTGATTCATTTGAAATAACTAGTACATGTTGTTGAATTCGTTTTTTTCTCCACCATCGATAAGCCAATAAAGATTGACCAATAATTAAATGTAAAAAATATGTTAAACCTGAATACAATTAAAGAGACTTTCTTTTAAAAGACATATATCAAATGATAGAAGTTAACTGTTGCTACTTCCTCATTTAATCGGACTATTATCAGAAGAAAACATCATCTTCTTTAGATTTATCAGAGTATTCTAGGCACTACTTCTCTTATATGATCCGATATATAGTTCGAACTTATCAGACTCGGCTAACTCGGCCTTAATATCGATTACAATTAATCAACTTCATTCTTCACAGTGTCATCCACACTCTCAAGATGAACTACAAAATATAATCTCGATAGAGAATTTTTTTTTCCGAAATTACGCATCAATGTTTTACCTCCATATAATCCCAAAAGAGTTGTTAGTATAAACATAGGATTATTTTTATCGGGTGATGTATATTGACATTGTAATGGATTACATGCTTGAAAATAACTTGTATAATTAGTTTGATTAATCCATTGTTCTACAAATAATTGTTCATTTAATAAACCTAATGAAATATTTTGAAATTTTGATAAACGAAATCCATCATAAGGGAAACATCCAATATAAATATCATCTATTAATAATTCTTTACAATTTGATGATATAGCACAATTACAATTTGAATTCGTAAATTTTCTTGGAAATGTTCTTATAATATTTTTTTCGCTCTCATCTGTAAATTCCATTTTCCAATTATTTGTAAATAAATTTAATAATTGATTAACATTAAATGAACCATCGATAAAGGAAAGTATTCGACGATAATCGGATAATATTTGAGATATAAATATTGAAATTAAAGCATTGATTTCAATATGAAATGATGAATATGTTAATGTTTCTATAGTTATTAATTCACGTGTACCAAAACTTTTTTCCGAACTATTAATAAAATTATTTGATAAATTACAAAGTGTTGATAACAAACGATAATGTGAAAATAAAAATAAAGATATATTATCATTTTTATCAATAAAGTTTAAAAACAAAGATTTATTCGAACATATCGAATGATATTTTGGAGTAAGAGAAAGAAAATTTGAATATTGAATAGCAACAGTTGAACAAGGACATGATAAACTTGAAATATTACGTTTATGAAGTTTATTAACCAATTCTAAACTAGGAGATATTATTATATTTGCTTTTGTATCTTCATGAAATGGACCTGAATAAAGAATAGCCATGATTAAACATAATAGAAATACAAATATATATAGACGAGTAGCTAATATTTCTTGATTTATCAATTTTTCTTCTGTTGATGGTGGATCACTTTTGAAAAAATTTAATTGAAATTTTAATTTATCGTTACAATGAGAAGGTAATGAATTTATTGTTGTATCTAAAAATAATAACCTCATTGCATATCTTTAACAACTATAGTCAAGGAGAAACAAGCCTAATTTTTGAACCTCTTAATTGTAAAATCACTTTTAGTTTATGTCTCATCAAAATAAATACAATTAATATAACTAACCGGTATTAGTATTATCTGTTGTTTTTAATTTAAACCATCGTTGTCTAGTTTGTTTGACTAACGGTAACAAGAGAATTTCTAATATAACAGATAATCCTCCGTAAAATCCTAACATAATAGTAAATGCATAAGCAACATCAAAACGTTTTGATATGGTGTAAGTACATTGTGATGGTGCACATCGTGTATAATAGGATGTAAAATTACTTAAATTAATCCATTCTTCAACAAATAATTGAGAGAATATTTCATTGATTTCTGTAGTTGGAGAAAAACGGCTATTTCTATATTCAAGTGGTTTTATATGAAATGTTCGATTATTCAATGGTCGAACTAAGCCAACTACATCAAAATCATAATTATCAAGAAGAAGTTTAATACATTTTTCATCATAAAAACATTGAAAAGTTGATAGAAGTAGTGAATCAATTGGATAACAACCAAGAAATAAACCCGGTACAGTTATATTTGGCTGATCACGGATTGTATCCCCTTGAAAATAAAATCCAACAGGACGACTACATTGATTCGAATAAGCACATGAACAAGAATTTTTATAAAAATCTCTTGGTCGAAATGCAAATGACCATTTTAATGTTTGATTATCATAAATGGATAACGGACCAACATTAGTCCATAGTTCTTCAGCTAATTGATTTGTTTGTATTAATGAACGAATTAATTGAATTAGATCGATAAATGAATTTATTGTTTGTTGTTGAAATTCTTGAAAATGTGTATTTGTTTCAATATGAAACTGATAAGGTGTTAGTGTGTTCACAGTAACTAGTCGTGTAGTTTTAAATACTTTCAAAGCATTTTCAATAGTTTCATTAGCTGTTTGACATAAAATACGTACTAAATCAAAAAATGATTGTCCACTAACACGAAAATCATTTGTGAGAAATGAAATACTATCAATATCAATTTCTACACGACCAAAATAAGATAACCAATCATCTTGAAGATATTCACTAGAACATATGGAATGATAACGAGGAGAAAGTGTCATTATACGAGAATATGACATTGAAAAATTTGAACATGGACAATTCAATGTTGATAAATTCATTGAATTTAATTTTTTGAATTGATTAAGACTAGGTGATAATATACTACGTGTTTGATTATGTTCTGTTAAACATGTATACAAACCAAGAACTATTAAACAAATAACTATTAAGAATATATACAGGCGAGTTGTTATTATTCCAATACGTTCTTCTTCTTTATCATTTTTATTGTTTGGCGGAAATAAATTAAAATTATGAATCGTTCGATGAACATGAGCAGTTACACCTAAAAAAAACACGTTTACGTTATTATTATCTATTATAATCGATAAAAATAAATTTTCTCGAACCTTCGTTAATTGGTTTTGGTGCTACATTAATAATAGCTAATTCTATTTGTGTATGTTCTGTAGATGTATGTGATATAGTTTTTTCCTTAAGTAAGTTCCAAATTTTAATAAAAACTGGTGTAATTAATTGCCAAATAATTATAAGACCACCAAAAGCACTAAGACTTATTGTAAGAATTGTTCCGAGATGAAATCGACTTTGATAACTGTAATATAAAGATCGAGGTGAACAAGCAGCAAAATAATTTTCATAATTTGATTTATTTTTCCAAGATTCAACAAATAATGATTCATCAAATATTGAACCTATAGTAGAATTTAATAAAAATCTTGTTAAACGAGAATTCAATGCTTTTGGCTGAGATAGATTCGGTCGAAGTGCTATAGCATTTATACATGATTGATTATATAAACATTCAAGAGTTGATTGTTGCATAGAATCAAGTGGTAAACATCCGGCCATTAATCCTGGAATCTAAATGTATAAGAGATCGTTTAGTATCTATTATTTCATCTCCTAAAATTACTGATACAACTTCTTAAGATAGTATTATCTTCATTGACAACTCTGTTTTTCTTATGAATAGTAACATTGTCGTCTGTCTCTTTCTTGTTCATAGCCTCCATTCGATCAGTCTGAGAACTGTGTGAGTATAGATATTCCGCTATCATCCATAATTTCAAATGTAACAAAGACCTATCGAATTTCGTCATTTTCGACTAATCGATCTATCTAACATAAATTATCTTACTTGAAATTGAGGTAGTGGATTATTTTTGGCTGCCGTTCCTAACTCAGGTAATGTCCAATTGTAGAAAGCTCCTGCTGGATAAGTACATTGATTTGCTTTAAATTTACAATCACAACCAAATTCATTCGTTTGATTTCTATATAAATAGACTCCATTATATGTACTATAGCTACGTGAACCAGGTACTGATTGAATATAATAATTTGTTCGAAGAGCCGAAAATATTCTATTTTGTGCTATAATCAATGATATAATACGTGCAGTTCGTTTTTCATTATTTATTACATTTTGTTGAAGATTATTAGAAAGAACAGAAGCAATTTCATTAAATTGAATTCTTGAAAGAGTTTGACGATGTACGAAATGAGTTGAATTAAATGTTCGAAGAATATCTTTTATGGCTTGTCGAGATATTCGACATAATAAACCAAGTGCACGAAAATGTGAAAAAGCAAATGTACGATAATCTAATATATTATGCGATGTTGCATTGAAAAGAAATAATGATGATATCCATTTTCTTTGAATAAATGGACTTTGACATACTTGATGAAATTGAGGAGAAAAATCAAGAAATTTATTATATGGAATTGTGACGTCGTCACATGGAACATTTATTGTACTTGGATAAAGTTTTTCAAGTCGTTCAAAATCAGATAAAGAAAATGTTTTTAGAGTTATTTCATGTGTTCGAATTTGTAAACTACTGTAACCAATTACGATAATCATAGATACGTATATAAATAGAAGAAAAAGACGTGTACTATGAATTTGTTCACGAAATGTTAATGTTGATGACCAAAAAGGATTTTCAGAAAAGAAATTTAAATCACGAACAAGACGAAATAAACGTGAAGTTGCATCAGTTAACAGTTTTCGGGTAGAAATAATTGACGTATCGTGTAATACAGTAGTTGCCATAATTATTCTAGCATAAGAAGAGTTTCAATTAAACTTTAATTAAAATTCAAAATCTAATTAACCGAACTAACATGTTTCATAACTTAAATAAATTAATAAATAAAACTTCATTGAAATCAGATTACTTGGCTGAAAATGTGTTAACGTAATCTCGTTCAAATGACAATATGAAATACGATCTACTTGTTGGTCACTAACAAAATACAATTTACCATTTTATTAACTAGTTAACTGTAATACAATCTGCTTTGGTTGCATTATGATGCTAGTCTGTCAAGCAATTCTAGAATATTAATCATAGTTCACTAGTAATATCTGTCACGTTTGTAGGAACACAGATATAAAATACAAATTACTATCTGTATATACTTTAACATTCATTTTAGATTTTCTCGGAGAAAAGATCCTATTCATGAAGTTATGCTATTACCCTATAATATACAACTAGTAAATCATATTGATTCTCATCTGAATCTATGAATTTTTCTAGAAAAAAAACACCAACTAGATTTACTTTATAATAAAAGTTTCTATTCACGTCAATATTTATCGAAGCAGAGGAAAAAACGTTTCATATTTCTAAATAATCCGAGTTCATTTCTATACGAGATTTTATGATGACTGTTTTGTTCAAACAGGTAAGTAGCTTTCTTTTCTAGTTTAAACTAGTAAACAATAAGCATTACTTACCAAATTATGAAATTAAGATAAGTCATATACTAAATAGAAATGATCGCACAGAGAATATACGAATTATGGGATCTAAATTCGATTGAGTAGTCCAAATTATTCTTTCGGTATGTTTCTCTTTCTAGTGCAATGGAAAAATAAACGTTTTAATAAGATAAAATGAGCAAAAAAAATATTTCTTAACATTTCAGTCAATTGTCACAGTCATCATACACTTCTTCTAAGGTTACCTTGATTAAATCTCGTTAATGAATCGTGAATAGCTGTATATGACATGTGTCGTATGTCTTAAGATGTTTCATGATTCTCAATTTATAATTATTTTGATACCAGACTCAAAGATACAAGTGTTCCTCGAATTGAACTAAAACTAATGAATGTCTTGTACCTAAATTGTATATTTCTTAATCACTATATACGATAGAATACTATATTATTGTCTTTATTTCCTACTTTGCTAAAAATAGTAACTCTTTTTCTTTATCTTCATTCAATGTAATTCATTATATTCTGTTGTCAGACTATATATATCTACTTGATCGGAATTCTCCCAAGAATTCACATACGAAATTTATAGAAAAATAATCTGAGAAAATTTCATTTATTTAATTCATTCTTCTTTAGAATAAGGAAACATCGATTAACTTAATAAACAATATAAAGGATGGTTTTTTAACACTTACCAATTTACTAAAATTTCTATATATTATTTCTGATCCAATACATTAACATGAAACAACTTATTTTTGATCTTTAATCAATAAAAAAGACTCACTCAATCTATCATTCATCAGTGCTTATATATCAAAAAAATAAAAGAGAATTTTGTTAATATTACACAAAACTATATTCTTGTATTTGTAACTAATCAGGGAAGTTCTCAACGTGTGAATCTCAATTCTACATGGGATATATACAAATATGTAGAACTCGACGTGATGATTGTCGTGATATACTCCATTTTCCCCTATACACCTTCAAATGAATAAAGCCGACAGATTTTATTAAAAGAATTCTATGTAGAAAAAGTTTTCTTATAAAACTTGCATACTTCAAACTCTATCATATAAATAATTTTACCGCGCAAAAAAAACATTAAAATAGAAAAAGGCATCCGCAAGTAGCTTTCAAGCTATTGTCTGAGAATGAGCGATCTAAACTACTATAACCAGCTTTTAAATTAAATCTTCTTTGGGACCCATGGAGAAAAACCGAACACACCACGAGAATCAGCTCGTTGAGCTTTACAAACTGGTATATATATCCTATTCAAAGCTGAGACTCACAGTTGGAGACTTTCCTTTGTAAGTCAATCTTGATGTTATTGACTTTATATATAATAGAAAATGATCACATTCTAAATTAAGAAAGACTAATTATTGTTTTATAAATAATTATATGATAGAACAAAGAAATATTTGCATGTATAATATATGGTTCATTCTATATTGATAACTATCAAATCTAATCACGTACTCTTATCGTGATTAAAAAACATTTCTTGTTGACACTGTCAATATGTAAAATATTTTAAAAGTTATTATTAGTTGATAAACGTGTCCAGTTTCATATCATAGTAACTATTAATAATGCATTAAACACCTACGAAAAAACTAGAATTGGTTATTTTTGTTTGAATATGAAACTGAATTGATTGTACTAGATGTTTCATTTATTTTCATATCCAAATATTTTCATAAAATATACGGATAACTTTTTTTATTGAAGTTTATGTATGTACTTGTCCATACATGCATACTTCTCTAATTAAAATATTTCAATCTAGTTTTACTAAAATTTCTTGTTTTTTTTTTACATAGGTGGTTAAAAAAATGAAGATAATAAGTGTTAATAACATTTTTTTTTGTATTAATTATCACAAACACAAAACACGCACGCGCACACATACACACAATATGCATCGTCATCGTCCATCTCATCTTGTCGCTATTAGTTTAGATCATTCAAACAGAGAGTTAATATAAAGAATCAAAAAAATGCATAGAAAAATAAAGTGAGCAAAAAAAAAAAAGGATAACCAATGTACAAAAACAACAAACAATCAAGATAAAATAGAAAATGGATAATGAATCACCGATTCAAACTGGCGATAGTATTATTCGAATTTTGTATCCCACTATCATGACTATCATGTTGATCATGTTCATTTGATGATGGTTGTATAACAGCACCATTTGTATTGGCAAATTGAAATATTGGACAAGTATTCGCAACAACTTCGAAAGCATCACGTCGATCAATATCAAGTAGCTTTTGAAGAAAATATCGAAGAGTTAATGAAGATTGTTTTTTTCCTAATTCTTCTAATAATTGATTAGTTTTCGATTGATAAATATCATCAAGATCAAGTTGTGGTATAAGATGTTGTTGTTGTAATGCTATTGCTAATAGACACCAATCTCGACCCATTTTATCTTGTTTATCAAATAAACGACAAAGTAATTGTCGAGTTTTTAATGAAAATATTGATATTGGTAAATCAATTCCCATAATTAAATTTGAAAAGATTTCATTTGAACCACAACATAATAAATCAATCAGATCTTCATTAAAATCAGCTGTTGTATTATTATTGGATATATCTTTTGTCGATACGCTTGAATGAGAACTATTCAATGAATCAGTCGAAGGATGTTGATTTATAATTGTTACACGATGATTATTATTTCCATCAAGTACTGATGACTAAAATAGAATTTTAGCAATATTTATACGACGTATGAAGAAAACAAACCTGATTTATTCCATATTGTTGCATCAAAGTTTGCACAATTAATTTAGGTGAATAAGTTCTATAAAATGGTGAAGTATTTACTTTTGAATCAAAAAATGTAAATGAACGATTTGAACAAGGTGAACTAGGAGTTAAACAAAATGTCTCTCGATCCGTAACTGGTAATGATGTAAGATTAGTTAAAACACGTCGTGTTGGTATAGCTAATGTATTTATTGTTGATGTTTGATTTAAATAAAGATGTTTTGTTGATATATAATGTTGTTCAATTTGTAACATTGGACACATTTGATTGAAAACATGTTCAATAAGTGAAAGAATATCATGAAATAAATAAAAGATTTGTTCACGATTTTGTACTTGTCCTCGAGCTTTTAATTCTAAATGTGTTAATGGATTTTTTGTTAATAATAATTCAATCATCCCCACAACTAATTTTGAACCTTCTGTCCATTGAAATAATTCAACATCATCACCACCGCCATGTTGAACAAATTCATTTGACATTATTAAACGACGAAGTTGAACTTGTATTCGAGGAAAAACAGGCCAAAGTAATGATGATAATGTACGTGAATGTATTTCACAACCAATATAAATATATTGAACACCTGAACGTTTTTCCCATAGACCAGGCATTATTTCAGTTATATTTAATTGTGGAAATTCAAATTCAAATTCACCATTAACATCAATTTGTGTACAAAGATCATAGGCATTAAATATTTGTAAAAGATCAATTGGTTCAGGTATTTCAGGAAATAAATTTCGAATATCATTTAGAGCAAATGTTTCATTGGATGATGAATGACGTTTACAAATTCGTTGATGACTAAGAAGACGACCAAGGATTATTTGACAAAGCCAATTCGGATCAAAACAGATCAAATCTTCTTGTGGATCTCCTTCCAAATATAAAACCTAAATAATAACAATATTAACATTCTTTAGATCAAAATCAGAAAACAATGTCGAATGTTTATATCTAACATAGCAATCTTTGTATATATCTCGTATCTTACTTCTCCCATTAATTGTAATTGTTGAACTAATTCTCTCATATGTTCATCGCTTGCTAGTGGATTTATTTCTTGTCGAATACAATCGAGAAAACGTGACCAAGACATAACTGGAAAATTTCCATAGGTTTTTCTCCATTGTTGTTGTATATGATATGTACATCGATCAAGTAGAACTGTTGTTGGTTTTAATTTTTGACATATTCGTTCTTTATATACATTAAAACATGTTATAAGATTTTTTATTGATTGTGTCCATGCTGCACGAGCATCCAGAAGAAATATTTTATCATGAAAATCAAAATCATTCATATAACGAGTTTTAATAGTATGTAAAAATCCTTGAATACGTTCACATGTATAATCTCCATCATCGGATTTTGTACAATCAGCTACAAGATCAGCATGTGTTCCAATAAGAACTATTTTAGCTAATTGTGCACTTCGACCATTCAAACCTAATTATTAAAGAAAAAATTAATAATCAAAAAAAAAAGATTGATTACAAACCAAGAGGTTCTTGTACAGATATTCTTATACGAAGAAATTCAAGCCAGTAGATTATATGTTGTTCTAATTGTTGTATATCGTCAGAAATATCGAATAATAAAACGTGAATACAATTGAAATCTCCAATAAAATGATCATAAGTTGAATGATATATGTCCGTACCGGCCTATTAAAATAATTAATTCAATCAGATGTAAGTCTTCATTTCTACTTACAAAATCCCAAACACTGTATTGTCCACCACCTGTACATGTTATTTGTTGAACACTAACACCTTTTGAATTATAATCATTGAAAACTTCTGATTCATCAAGAATAACGGATTTTCGATTTGCTAAAGCTAAAATCAATGTTAATTTTTATTTCGTTTTCTTTTCTACATACCATTCGTTTTTTTTGAACTAGTAAGACGATTTCTTCGAAAAAAACTATTTAAAAATGAACATTTCAAACTATCAATTAATGTTGTTTTTCCTAAAGAATTATATATATAAATATATTTTATTGTAATTATAATTTAATTACCAGAATTATTGCCTCCAAATAATTTTAATTTTATTCGTCTCAATGGTTGTTTTGTCGATATAAGTTGTTCCATAAAAACAGCGCGATTATCCTAATATGAAAATAATTATTTTTAAAATTTTATTCAAGATTTTTCTTTTACCATGCTTAATGCTTTAAGTAATTGAACTATTTCTGTATTACCATTTATTTCAGCTAGTTGACAAGCAGTTCGACCATCCTTTAACAAAAAAAATAGAATAGAATTTTCATTTAAAAAATAGAAGAAATATTTTACCTTATCTTGAATATTTATATTTAAACCAGCTAAACATAGAAATCGAGCTATTTCTGTATGACCATGACGAGCTGATAAATGTAATGAAGTTGCATCTGATTTATTTCTCAAATCCATTCGACATCCAAATGATGTTAATGCTTCAACAATAGGTAAGAGACCTTCTCGACTTGCATAATGTAATGGAGTTTCATGATTCTAAAAAACAAACAAAAAAATAATAATTTAATCTTCAAATAAATTTTATTTCATACAGTATCAAGTATATTTATATTGCAACCAGCTTGAATTAGCGTTAAAGCAATTGGTATTTGTTGTCGTTTACACGCAGAATGTAATGCTGATAAACCTCTCTATATGAAATAGAATCATTTGTTTTTACAAAAGAAAAACAATTTTCGATTTATACTTTATCTTGTAGATCTAAATTTGCTTTATTATCAATTAATATTTGAACAATTTCAGCATTTCCACGTTGTGCTGCACATATTAAACCTGTTTCTCCTTCCTAATATCAACAAAAGAAATTTAATTGTTAATTCTATTCATAGTAAAATTAATTTTTACTTTATTTCGTATATTAAGATCAGCACCAGCACTACATAAAATTCGACAAATACGAGAATAATCATGCCATGATGCAACAATCATCGGTGTTTCTTCTTCCTTCAAAAAATAAAATATTTAAAATGATTAAAAACGTTTTTAAAAAAAAATTAATTTACATCATCTTGAACATCAACATTACCACCTAATCTACATAAATGTTCAACAACATGTGGATGACCATATCGAGTAGCAACATGTAAACTAGTTTCACCATTCTTTAAGAAAAACAAAAAAAACTTTACATAATGAATAATAAATAATTAAATTATCATACTCGATTCGATACATTAATTGGCACGCCTTTTTCATGAAGAAAGGTAATTATCGGTACATGTCCTTGTCTTGCTGCCCAATAGACAGCATTATTTCCAGACTAAACAATCAATCTTATATTGAACTGTTTCATTAATCATTCTGTTCACTCACCCCATCAATAATCATTAGATTAGCTTTCCGATCAGCTAATAATTTAACAATATTTAAATTACCAGCGCCACAGGCAAAATGTAATGCCGTTTCACCATGCTATTTTAACATAAAATCAATTAATTCTCTTGAATAACTAATTCATTCAAACACTACCTTATTTTCTTTATTCACATCAATCGTAGCAAGATTACATAATTTTTTAATATTAGCTAAATCTCCATCTTCGGCAGCACATAAAAGAGCCGTTAATACAAAATCATCATTATCCTACAAAAAAATTATTATTGTTCATTCAATTAATTATCATACATACCTCAGCATAAGATCGACCAGATATATTTGAATCTAAATTATCTAAACTAATAGCGGATGAGATGGACGATAGACGCAGTTGTGACTATTCGAAAAAAGAAAAAAGTTCATTTTGATTTCTATTTAGATAAATTCTTTACTTGTTTAAAAATTTTGTTACACAGGCTGATCGCTTTCACACACCTCTATAAAATAAAGAAGAAAACAAAAGTATAAAATATGTTTTTTCATAAAAGCGTAATAAACACTAATCATGCTATTCTATCAAATATGAAAAAAAAATAAACATGCGAGGTAGGACTTGAATAACAATCACACGCATATACGAGCATAAAATACCCTTCTGTTTAGAAGAGGTTGTTGTTTTGACGATTTTTTTTAATTTGCGTGTTTTTGTTGTAACTTTTTTTAAAGTTCCTTCTTCAGTTTCTTCATATTGAATATTATCCGATTTTGATATTTTTAAATTTTCATCGGTATGAACTTTATTTTGTACTGTTGTACGAACATTTTGTCCAGTTATGTCATCAACTGATTCAATAACTTTTGTATCACTTGTTTGTGAACGTGAATGTTGATCAGATACAACTTGTTCATTAGGTAATGGAATTTTCATTAATGAAGCAGTTGTATCTCCTCGACGACGACGATGGTTTTCATTTCCATCATCATCATCACCTTCTTCATTCTCTTGAAATGATTCAGCAAATTCAGTGGATTTTATCTGTTTCATTTCAATATTTGTTGGACAACAATGTATACGTTTACTTGGATTTATTTCTTCTTGTTTTTCAATATGTTCAGTATCATTATCCGAATCATCGGTCTCAGAATAATGTCCCTCATAAATAGCTGTTTTACCCTTACGTTCACTATGCTTAGCTGATTTAACATTTCCATCTCTATCTATTTTTTTTGTTGTTACTGTACGAAGTATACGTGATTCACAGTGCATCTGTACCTTCCAACGACGACGAGCTATAAATGATTTGAATGATGGCATATTGATTTGAGCATTACGACGTTCTTCTTCATCTTTTCGACGACGTGGCTAAAATATTAAAATCTTATAAAATTTCATTTGATTTTTTATTTATAATATATACTTTAATCCATGGATGATTGAGACAATCGACAACAGTTGCTCGTTGTCTAGAAGAAGAAAAAAAAAAAATTGTTTTTATTTATTTTATAAAGAATAAATTATTTACCGAGGATTTTTAACAAAAAGTTGTTGAATAAAATCTTTAGCTAAATCACTTGTATTTGCAAAAAATTCCTCATCAAAACGATAATCAACTTGAGTTATATTAGCAAATGTTTCTTGATTTGTATTACCAAGAAATGGGGAAGCACCACTTAATCTAAATAAATTTTATTTCACTTTCATAAAATCAATATATTCTTTTAAATTTACAAAATATATGTTATAACACCAATACTCCACATGTCTGTTGCCAATGTAACGGGTTCAAATGCAATGACTTCTGGAGCTATAAAGAAAATAATTTCGGGTTTTTTATTTATAGAAAACAAATGACATACCAACAAATTCCGGTGTACCAAATGTTTCTTTCGTTGGTTCATTTGGTCGAAGTTTTCTTGAGATTCCAAAATCAATAATTTTTATTTGTGTTTTATTCTTTTCTAATAACATGATGTTTTCAGGCTAAATAATTTACAATAAATAGTAAGAATTAGTTATTGATTTTTTTTGTGTTTTACTTTTAAATCCAGATGAACAATATTTTTTTCATGCATATGACGAACACCTTCAAGAATTTGCAAAATAAATTTCGCAGCTTCTTCTTCATTCAATGCATCTTTTTCAGCAATATAATGAAAAAGTTCACCAGCGCTAACTCTAATTAATAGAAGAAAAGTGATTTGTTTGCTTTTTTGTTTTGTAAATTTACATACAATTCAAGTACTAAGATTATTTCATGTTTATTTTCAAATACATCATGAACTGTGATTATGTTTGGATGTGGAGCTAATTCACTGAGTATATCAGCTTCACGTAAGATTTCTTCACGTTTAAGACCTCGTTTGCCAGCAATACATTTTTTCTTTCGTACAAATTTCGCTGCAAATTCATGTCCCGTACTTAATTCACGAACACATTTAACAACAGCAAATTGACCGCTAAAATAAATGAATCAAATAAAAAATCATCATAATAAATTTCTTTTCTACGATATCTACTACTTTATCTGTTTATTGACATTTAGAGAATATGATAGATGAGAATTATTGAAACACCTAAGGCGAGTATCTCTCAATCTATGTATATATCACCTAATTATTTTTCGGTTTCTTTCGATATATAACTACGTGTAAGATTTATGGTTCTACACTCATTAGAAACCTAATAGAAAACAGGCGTTAAGAAGAAGTCAAAGAATAATATATATCAGCATCTACATGGTAGGATACCTAATATTTTTTTTCTTTTTCCTTCTTGTTTTGTCTTTATTGATAATAAGATGAAGATGTGCGTACATTAATATGTGGACCAACAAAATAAAGCTTCAAGCAAATAGTGACATGAACATGAGAATGTTTGTAGATCATAAATGATAGAAATTCGTTTATGTTCAAAACGACAATTAGTATGCATAGTTTATCACTGTCTCGAGATTCTATCTTTTGCTTTTTATGTGTCTACTATAACAGATGTTCTTTGTTTAATAACGAAAGAAACGCAAACCCATTATCTTATAGAAGATACACAGACGTAAATGTATATATCTCTGTTAATTGTTAGAAATATCAAAGGTTGTTCTGTTTTTTGTTTCACTCTTGCGTAATCTGACAATGTACAAAAAAAAAAGAAAAATAAACGACATTTATGTCAACTATTCATACTAATTTTATTATATTATCTATAGATAATAAATGAGAAAGAAAAATCAACAAACTAACCTTCCAAGATCATCTTGAATTTCATAAAAATTATCGAAATCTTCTGTAATAATATTAAGAACCATGGTGATAAATTATTTCTATATATTTACATTAGAGTTATTATGCCTCATGATCTAAAAGAAATAGGCAAAATATAATGAGATATAAATGAAATATATTTATTTTAAGAAGATATACATATGTATATACAGTAGCACAAGATACTATCGAATATAAAGATTACTAGGAGAAATTATCATAATGATAATCCTTGCTACGACTAAAAGAAACACGACAAACTGATTGAAAAGAATCAATATGAGATGAAGAGGAGGAAAACGACGAGGAGAAGGTTTTTTTTCTCTCTTTCTCTTTCTCTTTCTGTGTTGGTAGAACTGGCTCGTTATTTTTTTCGTTTCTTTCTTCTTCTTAACTACTACTGTATAATTTTTTTTTTCTAGACCACTAAATGCATATAGTTCTATATCAAACAGATAGTACCGTATTCTCTTTCTCTCTATTTATATATATTTTCTTTTTTATTCTTAATGTGACAGATCCACAACAAATATAATCATGAACTAATGATTTAAAATATTTGATATTTGAACCATTGAATATAACCTATTAAAATAGAATGTATATGAAAAAAGAAAATCGTTGACAATAGAATAATGAATAATTCTATGGCTTACTTTAATTTCGCCTCCTACAACTATACCACCTACGTCTTGATTATGTTGTTGTATTTCTAGGATAAAAGAAAGACGAATATATAAGAAATAAAA